CTGACCATGCCACACCCATGCTGACCATGCTGAGCATCATCTTTGAGGTATTTGAAGGAAAGTCAACAATCATTTGAAGGTCTGATATATCATTTCTTATAAATGATATATCAGACCATTTACCGATATTTATTAATTTCCATCATAGTCATATGAGTTCAGATAAAGAGACATGCTTGAAAACGGTAAGATTACGATCGGAAGAATCAGTTGATAAGTTTAGAAATGATCTGCTATCAGAGGAATGGAATGGTATTTATGTTGAAGATGTCAACTTAGCATTTGATACTTTCTTAAATCAATATCAATTACTATATAATAAAACCTGTCCAATAATAACCAAGAAGAGAAGAAGTAACAAAAAGCCATGGCTAACAAGAGGTTTGCAAAATGCTTGTAAAAAGAAAAATAAATTATATAGGGAATTTCTAAAGTTTAGAAACAAAATTGCAGAATGTAAATATAAAATATACAAAAACAAGTTGACTAGTATTATGAGACAAGCTAAAAAAGATTATTACTCTAAAATGTTAATCGAAAATAAGAACAGTATTAAAGGGACATGGAAAGTACTACATCAAGTGATGGAGAATAGAAGTGGTACAATGAGTGTGCCAAACCACTTACTAAGTGAAGAAAATAATGAAATTGGAAAAAATGAAATGGCTGATGAATTTAACTCATATTTTGTAAATATAGGCCCAAATCTTGCAAGAAAAATTGACAACCCCGACCAACCGGACGTTTGGAAAGGGGAAAGCAAAATTATGAATTCCATGTATTTAGATGGAATCACTGAAACAGAAATTCAATCGACCATAGCTCTACTAAAAAATAAAACATCCACAGATTGCGATGGGTTTGATATGACGATCATAAAAATGACAATAGACTGTATATGTAAACCTCTATGTCAGATCTTTAATCTGTCTTTTACATCTGGTATTTTTCCAAATAGATTGAAAATATCAAAGGTTATTCCAATGTATAAATTAGGCGACAAGCATTGTCTTACAAATTATAGACCCATCTCATTGATTTCACAGTTTGCCAAAATTATTGAAAAACTTTTTGTTTCCAGATTAGATGCATTTATAGAAAAACATCATTTGTTACATGAGAGTCAGTTTGGATTCCGAACAAATCGATCAACAGCCTTAGCCTTAATGAAGCTTACAGAACACATTAGTACGGCAATAGAAAACAAAAAAAGAACTATTGGGGTATTTATCGACCTCAAAAAGGCGTTTGACACCATAGACCACAGTATTTTATTTCAGAAACTACAGCATTATGGAATTAGAGGGGGGGTGTTAAACTGGATTATAAGTTATTTACAGAATAGACAACAATTTGTACAGTTTGCTGGCAACACATCAGAAAAATTAAAGATTAAATGTGGAATTCCCCAAGGTTCCATTATTGGACCAAAACCTTTTATTTTATACATCAATGATTTGTGTGAAGCATCAGACATATTACAATCGGTGCTGTTTGCCGATGACACCAACTTTCTTTTGTCAGGTGACGATATAAAGGATGTGATTAATAATGTAGGAAAAGATATGATAAAAATAAGCAAATGGTTTAGGGTAAACAAATTATCTCTAAATGTGAACAAAACTAAATTTATGTTATTTACCAAGTGCTATCAAAATAGAAATATTGAGTTGTGTTTAGATGGAATAAACATTGAAAGGGTAGAAGAAATTCGATTCTTGGGTGTGACCCTCGACGAGAATTTAAACTGGAAATCAAATTATGTAAAAACCTCTCTATCCTTCACAAAGTGAAATATTTTTTAACTTATACAGCTCTGAGGATATTATATTTTACATTAATATTGCCATGTCTTTCTTATTGTTTGGAAGTTTGGGGAAATACGTATGTAACCACACTGAAGCCTTTGATAACGTTACAAAAGAAAGCAATAAGAGCCATTCATAAAGTCCATGGGAGAGAGCACACTAACCCATTATTCATAACATCCAAATTGCTAAAGGTACCTGACCTTATAAAAACCCAAACACTTACAATAATGTATAAAGGCAAGACACCATTTGTTGCCTCAAACTGTACAAACACTATTTTCGTTTAAACCAGACTCTCGTCTCCGACACAAACTTAACTTTATTCTTCCTTTTGCCAGTACCACCCAGAAGCGGATGGCTATCTCAGTGGCTGGAGTCAAGCTGTGGAACTCCATGAAAGACACTTTAAAAAACTCCACAAATATTTTTCAGTTTAAACAAATATTCAAGGAAACAATAATTAAATCATATGAACTGGAAATTAAATGAAAGAGGATTATTTGTTTTGATGAGCAAACCCTGCTTGTGGCATGTTTTGTATTTGTTATTTCTTTGTGACTGATGTGTTGTTACATCAGACCATCTTGAAAAATGTTGTTTGTTTTTTTTGGAGAAAGGGGCACATAATGTTTTGTAAATAGTCAACTCTGTTTAAATCTAGAAATGCACAATTTTTTTTCAGTATCATTATTAATTTTGATTCATAATATTTATTTGTGATTTTATCTTTGAAGTATTTGAAGGAAAGTTAAAAAAAATAGACACTAAGTCAGTTAATGGTAGTATTTCCAGTTTAGTGCCCAAATTTGAATGTGATCGTTTTTTCATAATAATTTTTGGTATTGAAATATTTCTTCAATAATAGTAATATTCCAGGAATACATAATTTTTGGTGTGATCTCTAAGGCCAAGTATTTTTGGTTTTGATAAAATAAGTAGTTCTGCAATGAGAAACCTCAAAACATGGTACATCAAGCTAAGTCAAATTTTTGATCAAAACCACAACTTTGACAACATATTTCTCATTAACGACAGGGATTCTGTTTGTGGAACTTTTTCTCGGCTAACTGTAATTATTTAGCATTAACATAAAGCAAAAAGAAAGTATTTCCCACAATCCTGGAGTGAAAGTCAAATTCTAGACCTCTTTCATGAACTAGCACATGGCCTAATAGTGAATGTGATTAATCAATTGATTCCGGCTTCAAAGAAAGTTTGGCTTTTATAACTCAAGTTAAAATTGTTTTATGAAATTTGGCATATAGACAATCCAAGAAGGAAGTAACACAAACCTTACATTGTTCACAATTTGAAGCTTAATCCTTTTCTCAGAATTTGGTGGTGTTTTGGCATCCTGCTCCCTTGCAGCTGTCATTGTCATTCAATAATATTATCCAGAATTTATGAGTAATTACACATTGTATCCATGCTCAGGGCTCTCCACTCCCTTGACCTGTCTCCCTCTGCACACACACACACACACACACACACACACAGATCATTTAATGACATTTTTATTTTTAATGAAGATCTGCAAAGAGATTTTTTTCAAAAATTGTCACAGAACGCCCTCTTGTGATCATTGTGGGACATGCATTTTTTTCTGTTTTTAGTCTTTCTGTGTCTATATAGTGTATGTATAATATATATGGGGTGTACATATGTTCTCTGCATCTTTCTTCTTTTATTTGTGTATGCCTGCTTTCTATATGCATAGATAAATATGTTTGTGTTATTAAACATCCTCTTCTATATCTATTTAGTATATGCCAAACATAAACACATCATTTTGAGTCGCGTTTGTGTAATTATATTTGAGAGTGTTAACATACATTTTGTAAAGTTATTTGTGACTTTTTAATATAAAAAGTCAAATGCTACAACCATGAGTTCAGCATTTGAACGTGTTGCCTGTATCATGCTGATTACCTGGCAAAGGGAACTAAAATGTGTTCAAATTGAAGTTAATTCAGATATTGAACATGTAATTAAATAGAATTTAAATTTACCAGTATTTAAGTCATATTCTTTGTGCTTGCGCCACTTCAGCTTCTAATTTAATTTAACAGACTTCAGTGTGAGCTCTGTGGCATTATTATTCCCTAAAAATAAATGTATATTAAAATAACATTTATTTATTTACAATGGCTTTACCACCTGATATCAAAAGTGTAACACATTTAACTCAGATTCTTAAGGACAATGAAGAATTCTGTTTGTTTTTACTACTGTACCTGTTTTTTGTATGGTTATACCAGTAGGGGCGGGTCCCGGCTCAAAAGTGGCCAAGATGACCACCCCGGCAGACCTCTCAAAAACGTCTTTACAGGATGGTCCAAAAGTTGGCTCTTGGCCCAAAGCTCCGTTCCACATGTGTGTCAATGCTGTCGGGGGTGAATTTTTTGGACCACTCTAGCTCACTCTCTGTGAATTTTTGAAGTCTCTCGTTCAAATGAATGGAGCTTGCGCCGGCTGACGCATGCGCAGATGCGTTTTTTTCACAATTTTCTTGCGGGCGGGACCACTCGTGGCCATTTTGGATAGCTCCAGTAGAGCATAATTATTAGTTAGAACGGTGGCAATAGGCGTGACTATGTGTCCATTCATTTTTACAGTCTATGGGTTATACATGATTCAAATATACGTTTTTTGGGACAAAACTAAATCACTGATCTCAAAAGCTTCATTGTAAATGATTTCAATTACACTTCCCAGCATAGATCATGCAAATTTACTAAAATAAGGATAACAAAAAACTAATAAATAGGAATTTGAAATCTCTTTTGTTTGAAAAAGAGAATCATTACTATGGGTATTTTTAATGGGGGCAATAACCCAGCTCCCATCTGTGCAATTACTGAATTGTTAACTTGTAATAGTGAAACACAATCTGAAGTGTTAACCGGACATATACAAGGATGGATGTCTGTTCCTTGACATGTTGTTTTTTATGTGCTTAGACGCCTTGGGATCCACCTCCAAAAGCCACTTCCACTAGATTAGAATCAGGTGGCCAGTGGGAGCTCGATAGTGAGCCGCAGCTAAAGGAGGAGGAGAGATAGCGGGTAGAGACAGAGAGGACAGTCATGCACTTCTCAAGCAGACACTAACACACCACACACCCACAATATTTCTCCTTTACATCGCATCCCAGCACCTCCTGTATCCACACTGTGAAGAGCTGGAGAAATGCTTCCCTGGCTGCTGGCCTTGACTATTTCAGCGCTAACAGGTAAAAAAGTTACTATTAAAATGTGAATAACCGATGTTTTGTGTAGCATTTATTTGCAGTATGTTATTTACGTGGTTCTTTTGCTGCTTAACATATTGGCTTCAATATGATTGCACGTTTCTTTAGTCTTTTTATTTGACATGATTCACTTAATGTGATTAATGTCCCTTCTGCCTGGCTGCACTTACGAGCCAAGTGTCCTCTACAGAATGTGAATGACAAGTGTTTCTAAGCCTTGAATTGGCATTGATTTTTTGAGAAGACATGCTCTATAAGATTTTCTTGTGTTTTAGGATCCACTGTTGGCCATGGAGGCGGCAGTGAGAGAAACTGCTCCATATCTCCACCAGTGAGTACTTCGTTTCCCAACATGACATTTACTACACGTTGTTAATGATTATGGTGAGCTTTACTTGGACAGTGGAGTAGTTGTGACAAATCATGTTACAAAGTACAACATTATTTTGCTATGAACATTTCAGGTTCATACAAAGTTTGTTCATTTTAAATAGTTAATACAATGACATGTTCTGAGATTAGACAAATATAAATGTTTTATATCCTTAAAAGTTCCCTGTTTATAATAAAAGGTTGAGTATGAACTCTGCATTTTACTGTTTTCCAAACACAATGATCACGTCTGTTGCCAGGGCCTATAAAAAGGGCATGCACATGTTCTCCGCAGTTTAAGAATCTTTGGCTGTGCTCTTAATTGCTCCAACAATCAAACGCAATCCGGAACTAAAATTATTCAGATTATTAAAGATCTACTGTCCATTCTGAGGCCCCAACTCCACCGGATGCGTAAAACTTACTACGTATCCGTCCAAACGTGTCTGTTTCATCTCCGTTTCCGTTATCTCCATGAGGGTGAATGGAAGTGGCTCCACTGGCTGCAACATGCGTCCGTCTGACGCGCGTCGGGAGCAGTCCGTTCACGGAGGGTGCAACGGACGCGAACGGACGAAATAGAAACAATCCTATTTTTTACGTCCGTCGATGTGTGTCGGGTCCGTTTTCCATTGGAAATACTATGAAATAATATATTTACCACATTATTAAACATGTATTGATATATGCTGTGGTCCTGGTTATAAGTGTTTGTTAATGACAATGATTATTGACAAATGTGTGTAATTTTCTTTCATGTATAAAATTGAAATAATTGTTTCCTGATCGTAAATCTACCATTTATTTTTCGCGTAATGTTAATACATTAAACTTTACATACACTTCGCTCTTTTAGCTCTCGCTCTGTCCCCGTCTACCTCCAAGGCGCTCTCTCCTCACCTCCGCGCGCTCCCACACACACACACACACGCACGCACACACGCACACGTTTTTGTTACCTGGTGGGTCCCTTTGACAGGGCCGTTCAGAATGGGACCCATAGACATAATCTTTTTTACCAAGACTTTAAGTAATACAAAAACAGTCAATAGAAACCAAACAACTATATTTAAAGGAATTTTATTTTAGATTTTGTTTTCGAATTGCAGTGATTCTATTTTTGACATAGAATTTAATGCCACTCCATGTCCGATGTCTAAGGTCATCTGGTGAGGCATTAATGCAGGCCAGGCAGTGAGACTTCCCAGGGACCTTTCCAGTCTGTATGAAAGGTGTCATGGTCTTCTCCACAGCCTTCACCTCAGATGCAGACCATGGCTTTCTTACACGTTCTAGGGAGAGAAATAAAAATATATTAGCGATATACACTCCCAGGGTGAGGACCAAGCAGCTGGCTGTAATCCCCCACCTGGTACACTTACCAGAAGGGGCACTGCCACTACCATGGGGTGCATCTGGATGAATGGTTGAAGGTTCTCCGCTTGAAGTTTCTTTTAGCCCGTCCGTTTGTGAGAGGATCTCTACTGCTCTCCCTGTCGCACAGAAAATAAAAATACAAGTGGCCTTTAGGGGAAAAAAATCATACATATTTTAATAATATCAAGAATTACCTTCAGGCTCAATTTGTATCTGGTCGAGGCTCTTTCCTTCGAATTCCGTCACTCTTCCCTGCTCCATGGCCATCAACACTTTGCTGATTTTGGCCAGCTCCAGTGTCCCCTCTGGTAGTCTGTAATATTGCCTGTGGATGCGAATGTCATGGCCGAGGAAGTTGGCAAGTATGTCCATCTCATTCTCTTTCATATTGAGAACTGTAGACATAGTAGCTATGTGCTTTCTAAGTTTGGTTGAGGATAGCATCTCTGGATGCACCGCACCACATTCTTTGGCTACCTGGCGTAGGGAGTCTGATCCCCTGATGTGGGTGTCTGCGCCCGGGCGGGAAAAGAAGTATGGGTTATGGTCAGAGATGGAACAGGCCCTTCTGTTCTCCACCAGCACCTCCATCGAAGCAATCATTTCAGGAGTCAAAAGAACCGGCACTTTCCGACTTCTTTTCCCTTTAATTTCAATGCGTTGAAAATGCTGACACAGCTTTTTCTCAAGTTGGGACAGTCCCAGAGCAATGTCAGAATGGATCCCAGTCTTACTTCTTAAGGTAAAGGCTGTCAGTGGCATCTTTGAAACCTCACCTTCCCTTCTTCGATTGAAAATGATGACCTCACAAAGAGTCAAAACTGCCAGTTTAGACCAATGCTTAGACGTTGGCTCACTTATTAGGGTTTGCACATATTCAGGTCGACATACCTCAATATGTGCATGCATGGCTCTAACGTCCTCAGTCAGAGGGAGCAGGTCCGGAGTGTTCCACTTGGCTTGCCGGAGGGTCTGTAGGGCAGCAGAAGAAACACAGACGTCCCACCTCTTCTCAAAAAGCAGCCGGCTTCGTTGGAGGTTTTTAATAAATAGTTCATCAACACAATGCTCCATTTTTGAGTCACATTCAAGAATATCTGCTAGCTTTCTGAGGCTATGGCCGAGTTTGAGGGCCAAGGATGGAGTCTTGTATTGATTTGTTTCCTCATCATATCCAGCCACAGACCTGACTGCATCAATCACATGGTTAAAGTTGGAAGGAATAAAGAAATCCTTAATTGTTTTCAGTTTCCCTGCGGTTTTTGCTTCGTTAATTAACCTACCGACTTCTCTCATTTTCTGCCTAATGTAATCATGCTTTGTCTTATCATGCCCGTGTTTTAAGTACAGGTGCTCTCCGAGTCTCAGAATCCCCTTTTCTGCTTTGACAACACCCGTGACCTCATCCTGATGCATTGCCGAAATTAAAGACCACAGCTTTTTGCTGATGCCCTCCGGTACAGGCTGGGCTAGGGAGCAGAGGGACTGGACCCTACTTCTACCTGGTTTAGCCTGGGCATCTTTCTGTGAAAGCCGGCACCTGGCCACATGCCTCCACAGCGACTTTCGCTTAAGCAATGCCCCACAGTCTATACAGTGCAAAAACTCACTGGATTTAACTGGGGAATTTGGCTGTTTAGCTGGGACTAAAGTTCCAATGCCGGCCTTTAAAACCTCAAAATTGTGCTCACGGTTTCCACTATTCCTGATCAAATCAAACTGAAGTTTACGTGCTTTAGATTTCACAGGTAGAGCCAATGCTCTGGCTACGTCACTTTCATTTCCATGTTTTCTAGTCAAATGACGGGACATTTTGTGGCAGGACATTGAACAGTAGAGGCAGAAGTGTCTCTTGCTGTATACTCGCCCCCCATTTTTCTTCTTTTGCAGCTGCATGATAACAATCTTATTTGCCTTTGGTTCGTCACTTTCCGAGTCTTGAAGAAAAGTGTTTTTGATTTTTCTTTTTCCATACTTTTTTACAGGTTTCTTCTTGACAGTTAAATCGTCAGAATCTGAGTCGACTTCATCAATTAGGGACTCTTGACTAAGCTGCACAAACAACAAATAATTTGTAATCATTCTATATAACAATTTGAAGTCATGACTTGTAGTCAGCACTTACCAGTGGTTTGTAAGCGTGCGCTTCAGTGTGCTCCTCCATGATTTCTTGCAGCCTAATGAACCACACACTTGCACCTTTTTCTAGCCTGACACCTGATTTCCTCTGTTGTGCTGCTCCATGATTGGCTCCAGCCTGCTGGACTGAAATTGCCCCAGTGTGCCCCTCCTTGATATCCCGCAACCCACCACCAGGGTTCCGACACATAACACACTTTTTTCAGGAAAGTAAACCTCCAGGGGTCCTTTCCATATTTTTACAGAGACTGCATAAGGACCGTTAGAAAAGCATTACCCATTGATTATTAAGCTTGGACCAGTGGGGTCCGGTGTTCGGGCCCCACCACGTAAAACCAGTCCCCATGACGTGAGTGGAATCTCAGGTTATGGAACCCACCAGGAGTTGAAAACAAGTGCACACACGCACGCACACACACACACACAGAGCTACTGCACTTATGAGAGACAGATCTCACAACAACACTTGATATGTTGGAGTTCTTTTCTCTTTTCTCTCTCACCTTTTTCCAATTGCTTTCAATAAGTTTTGCCTCATCCATCGCGACGTCCTCGATGCTTCAATATGCCGTGCTTTGCATAGATCATAGCCACAGCTCATGCACATCACACACCTCTTCTTCTTTTTAAAACATAGCCTCACAGGGCTGATAAATGCACAGCCAGAGCTGCGCGCTGCTGCAGCCGGTTTGGCCACTATTCTGTTTTACGGACGTCTGACGGGCGGCAGCCTATACGCGTAAACAGAGACGCGCCCGGTAGAGTCCTGGCCTAAGGAAGAACCACACTCCAACAAACACATTTATTCTCCGAGCGCCTTGATGGTGGTACTAAGTCTACTGATCCACAGCGGTGATGAATCCATCATATACAGCTGTATGCTCGCTACCCCCCAAGGCGTAAAGCATTATGGGTAATGTGCAAGTAGCAAATACAGAACTGTACACATAGAGCAACCCTGTTCCAGCACAAAATACAACCACTAAATGTTTTCATTTCCACACAACATTCAGTGCAAGATGCCACATGGCAACTGTGTAACACAGAGCTGCATCAAAGATGAACGGATTGAGACAATCAAACTGAATTCAACAACTTTATCAAATAATTTTGTTCACCCCAACACAATTGCCACATTATTTATGAACATTAACATTTGGTGATCGTTATCCAATCAGAAAGCACTCAAGTCTACAGCAATAACCAAACAGCTAGAGGAGCTGGTGTGTGTGTGTGTGTGTGTGTGTGTGTACAGGGCAATACACGGGCAACAAATATTTATCTTGTGATTATATTAAAAAATCCATTCGTTTTTTTTATTGTAATGAGTTTATCCTTCAATGCTAAAAACATTTCTTCTTCATTTCTCATGTGTTCTTCCAGTACATCCCCAGTACAGCCGTCAATAGCACTCTTCAGCTGCAAGAACTCAGAAAGAAAATGCTCCCGCTGAAGATTTCTGCGTACATTATTCCTGGCACTGATGCTCACCTGGTACATTCCGCTTACCATCTTCATAATGAATTCACATGAAAATCTAAGCCCCTTTTTGAAAGATTGCATTCTCTACTTTACCTATTTCTTTTCCAGAGTGAATACATTGCCCCTCGTGACGCCCGGATGGCCTTCATGACTGGCTTTAAAGGCTCATCAGGTACAGTGCTTCCCCTCCTCTTCTCCACCAGATGACTCAACTCTACTCACTCAAACTGTGCTGCTCTCAAATTGTTATATCACATTTCCATTGCTCATGTCCAGACTTCATTCCCTGTTAGAAGCGGAACAAATTGCCATTTTAGGTTTTGTGCACGGTTGAAAAACTGTTTATTACAGGGTGAACCTGAGATGCACTTGAAAGCAACAGTCCTTCATTTTATAAAAGGCTATAATCTTTTTGCTGGTTGCAGCTTCCTTTTTCTGAGCGGTTAATATTTAACTGTATATGACACCTGTGTGCTCCAGTGGAATGATAATATTGGAGCAGCCTCGTTTTATGCATGCATTGCACTTCTTCTTTGCTGTTTTCTCCTAACCTTTTGTGCCCCACACATTTGTATTCCTGTTTTAGCTGCCCAGTCACGCCTTGTAACAGGACTTTGACATTTAAAAGTGTTTGTGCTGTGTCTCCGCTGCCCATAGGCACCGCAGTGGTAACTCCGACCAAAGCAGCTCTCTGGACAGACAGCCGCTACTGGGTTCAAGCTGAGAGGGAGATGGACTGCAACTGGGAGCTGCAGAAAGATGGTGAGAGGTTCTAATGACAATAATGCACGAATGGAAACACTCTCAAGAGAATAACTTACTTGATCTGGAAATCTCAACCAAACTGTTTTGGAACAGAGCAGAATAATGATAAAAAATAATTAGGTTAAATTCAATAAAAGCAACTGCTATGTACAGAAACGTGTTCTGAAACTCCTTGCCTTAAAGACCAGGATAGGGTCAATGGAAATAATAATTTTAGGGCTGTCAAACGATAAATTTTTTTAATCGAGTTAATTACAGCTTAAAAATTAATTAATCGTAATTAATTGCATTTCAAACTATTGGCAAAATTATGCCATATTTTTCTGTAAATGGTTGTTTGAATGGAAAGATAAATGACAGCTTAGTGAACATATGTACTGTATTTGTTTGTTATAACAATAAATCCATATAAAAGAGAATTAACATTATTTCTGTCTTTCTATTTAGACCAAAACCATTGTTTGTTACAGATGAGGGACATTTCAAAATAGTCTGAAATGCAGAATGTCATTATATCTGTTTGATTTGCTCACAACATTACTTTTTTGGCACAACTAACATGAACTGGTAGTCGAAAGGAAAATTAGGTACCTCAGCTTTAATTTAGCGAGTGCGCTTCGGGAGAAGACACGAAGGAGACTGAGGCTCCGCAGTCCAGCTTCAGCGCTGTACATATTGTGTGCATCGGTTACGCAAAGACACGTACGCACACTAGAGAATAGTTCTGTGCGTGGTCTTGGATATGATCCCATTACGCAGCGCCGTGATCACAGCCCCTGGAAGTGGGAACTGCTATCCAGAGCGCTGTCGCGCCCGCAGCTCTTCATGCAGAGTTCATACAGGAAACTACATGTGCCCCGCGGTCACGCGTGTATTCTTTCAAAACTTGAATTCCCAGAGGGCCTACCTGCTCTGTCCCCATCTTACACGCGCGCATGTGTCCGCGGCATTCTGAGTGTTATTATGGGACAAATGCGTTAATTTTTTTAACGCGATTAATGAAAACAATTAATTAACGTGCGTTAACGCGATAATTTTGACAGCCCTAAATAATTTAAAATTGGAATTATATGTTAAAATAGTGCAAGTTTTTTTTAGGGGACTAGTAGTGCTAGGGAAAACATGAGAACCTGGAGGAACCTGCATAGACATGGGAGAACATGCAAACTCAACTCAGAAAGGCCATGTTCCGCCAAGGGGTCGAACCCAAGCTCTAACTACCCAACAGTGTTGCTCATGTTTGATGTAGTACACTACATGGTGCTAATCATGAGAGGACAAAACTTAAAACAAATGCTTATAATGGAATGGGTGAATAAAAATATCAGTAAATATTTAAATATCTCCACAATTTAGTTTAATCAATAATTTGGTATGATATCTACAGAAACAGCCTCATAAAGTAAATCGAAGCAGACCATAGCGTGCTATCTTCATCGTTAGAGATAATAATATCTTTCTCAATACTGTGAGAAAGACCCATTCAAGTCAAAATATGACATTTGACGATGTTTTTCTTAACCTTACCTTCTGAAAAAGCTTTTTTCATTTGTAGGGGCTAATAAATTTACTTTTTCAAGCCTCGGAACAAAATAAAGGGGATAAAATACAACTTAAAACGTTAAAGCTCGTTTATCATTTCATGACACAATGCACATTTAAGTTTTCCTATCACAGTTTAATTGATATTATAACTTGGCAGACATCTACAGTAACATATTGATAAGGATATTCAAGATGAAACATGCTTTTGGATCTGTGTTATATCCACATAAAACCTTTCTGTGTTTTTCCATGTAGTGTCTGTCGGCTCAATTGTCCAGTGGCTCATAGCAGAAGTACCAAAAGGTGGCCAGATCAGCTTTGACCCCTTCCTTTTCTCACTCAGTAAGTGTAAAAATGACTTCTGTCGGTTCAGCTTGGCGTCAATAATGCTAAGCGCAAACAAATTTAAGATAGTCAATTTGGGCTTTGTGCTGCCCAGCCTGGGTTGATTGTGTGCTCATTGTGCTGTAATCACATGCAATTTCCTTTGTCAGAGAAGCACGAGGAGTTTGAAATCGCTCTTGAATCCTCCAATATCACCTTCAAGTCTGTTTCCAACCAACTGGTGGATGAAGTGTGGCCGAACCGACCTCCGATCCCCCCGGACCAGCTGATCCGACTGCCAGACAGAGTCATACGTAGGTCTATGTGTTTATCTTGGGTCATGTACACAAAGCTATCAGCCATTAAACATGAATTTATGTTTTTACAACTCTGCTAAATATCAGCTTGGAGGAGAGGAGCATGGCACTTAGGTCATTTTCTATTGACCAGTGCTATTTGTTTACAGGACAATGAAAAGTGTAGAATAAATAGAGGATAGAGGATATGGAGTGACTTGATGGAGTTGTTCAGTGAACCTGCTGTTCTTGGGAGAGATGCTGTAAATATATACGTTTTTATTTATTGTAGTTGTAAAATGAAGAAACATTATTACTTTGAGCTTATACAAATCTCACTCCTTTTTGTTAAATGTGTGACTTCAAAGTGAAATAACCGTTTCAGGATACTGTTTGTCTAGACCTCTGTAAGATTTTATAATAATTTGACTTGACGTTGATGTGGTGCTGTCTCTCATTCTTATTGTTTGCAGAAAGAACGTGGCAGGAAAAGGTGCAGGACATCAGGAGGCAGATGGCCGAGAGCCTGTATGAGCCCACCGCTCTGCTCCTGTCGGCGCTGGATGAGACAGCCTGTAAGACTTTCAGTTATACAACATCATACAGAGAAGAGAGAGACTCACATCAGACAGTACAAACCCTCAAGTTAAATGTGAAGAGAAGATGATGATTCAATGTATTTTGTGCGCACGCCACATACTGGACACTCACTTTGATGGAGCACCTCCTGCAACAGATAATCCTATCTGAGCGCTGTCTCTAATTTAATTGAAAATATTATAAATTAATTGTGATTAATTTTAATACTTTTACAATGTAAAAAAATACATTGATCTTTACAATAAAACAACAAATGGTGGTGCAACATGATACACTTACTGTCTGCATTACAAGTCAAAGATGAATGAAGTGGAATAAGTAAAGGTTACACAAACAGGCCTTGGGTGAGGGACTGCTCGGCTCTCAGTGAGATTGTCAGACTTTATATTGCCATGTAAGTAACAGGAAGTCAGAGACTAGGAAATTGCATTGTTTTGGCTTGTTAGCTTGTGATTAGTTTAAAGAAGTATAGTATGCATATAAAATAGTATGCATTACTTCTGCTGTTGACAATAATAATGACACTATTTTCTTTTAGTATAATTTCATCTTTTAGAATATGAAATAAAATCCTAAGTAGAAAATATATTGTGACTCATGCGATGCAGAAGAGAGAACAATAACCTTTAAACGTAGGAGCCACTTCAGGGCTCACCTCGACAGAGACATATGACTGTATCATGACTGGAGAGTTTTTCATATAAAATAAGCTTGTAGCAGTACAATAATGTATTCATTTAAACAATAAAAATGACCAGTGATCATCTTAAATAAAACAGATGTTTTTAAAAGAAACTGAGCATAAGAGGATCTTATAAATGTTTCCATCTCAGCCCAAAAGTTACAAATTTTTTGTTTTAAAACAATCAATGAGAGGTTGCCATGTTGTGTGAAATATTTCCAATTTTCAATTCTAACAGATATCTTAGCTTTTCCAGTTGTAAATGTTTCATTACATCTTTCAGTGACACTGGGTGAATAGGGGGTGTTTTCAACCAAATTAATCTAAGAGCAAGAAATGCTATAAAGCATGTCATAACAATTTTGGGTTTGATGAATCCGCAGAAGCTGGTCCAAATATTGCTGCTAATCGGTCAGGTTTGGGTGTTTCTTTAAAGAAGTTCGGATGCAAACTGCAACTTTTCAATTTCCCTGTTTTGAACTGGCAACAGCTCAGAAACAAGTGCTGCTTTTCTCCACAACTGTCAGAAATATAATATCCCACTCTTTATTAACAACACAACTTCACAGTGCATGCCAGATTTTTTAATGTTATAGTGTTGATAACACAGTGTTATCTCATGTGAAAATAAATCCAAATTGAAGTTATCTCCTCTACAACAGGGTTGTAATTTGGATGCAAACATTTGTATACAGCAGTAAATCATTAATTGTTTATTTCATGTGTGTTTCCTTTTGTATTTTCACTTGTCAGGAAGTTGGCGTTTGGAGAGTCTGAAGTATTTTTATCTAATTCTTTAAACCTTGATAAACTATGCAATATTAAGCAAATGACTATATAATAGTCTCTGACTATATAATATATTGAGACTGATCTTTAGATGTGCATCATGTTTTATAGGGCTGTTCAATATGCGAGGAAAAGACATCCCATACAATCCCTTCTTCTACTCCTACACACTTTTGACCATGGATGAAATTTGGTAAGCCTCTTCTTACACATTACAGGCAGGCTTCTTTGGTTTATTGCTAATCTTTGAAATAATCTGCAGCTCTGAAAGGAAGATACCATGTCAGTATTAGTGTTATTTACATAAAACAATTCTATGTATTCAACCAGAATATCCTCTAACCACTTTCGAAACTGGATAGAGTTATACAAGAGTGTCAAACATAACTTATTTGTATATGTAGAATTGTAATGACTGTTCTGAATACATGAATATAATTCTAATTCTAAAGTGTTCCCTACAGGCTGTTCTTGCACGAGCACAGACTCACAGATGAACTGAAGGTGTATCTGAACTCGTCCTGCAGCGGGCCGCTCTGTGTGCAGCTCCGCAGCTATGACTCTGTCCTGGAGCAGGTTCAGGCGTATGTGGCCAAAGCACAAGTCAAAGTGTGGATCGGAGCAGATTACACAAACTACGCTCTTTTCGAGATCATCAAACCAAAGGTGCAGAATTCACAATAGTTTAGGATGCAAAATTATCACCTGTTTCCTCCTCTGTCTGTGTCTCTGTTCACCAATGTCCTCTTGTTACAATCCAGCTCAGCTAGGGCAAGGGGGGTAACAAATCAAACCAAGATCCTAAATGGAAAAGCCCCATTTTAATAACACGACTGTAAATGACTGTAAATGGACACAATACAGGACATAAAAGGGTAACTCAATGTCACAAAACAAAGCAAAACCTAGCCTAAACCTTTACATTAACTCACACTGAAACTAAACACTAAACCTACTGCTGTCCCAAAAAAGCAAATTGTCACAAAAACAAAACCTGAAGTGACAACTGAAATGAAACTTACCAATTAAAAGCCTCTTAAGTCATTGTCACACCTCGTAACTCTCCTGAAAGTGTGTGCAGACTATTTTCTCTGAGCTACTTTACAAAAGGTTGTTCATCTCAATAAAAATATGGAATATTTGCAGTAATTGATTCATTTTCAGGACAAGATCATGACCACCTCATACTCTCCTGTGTTGACCACAAAAGCTGTGAAGGATGAGACGGAGCAGCGGATCCTGAGAGAGGCACATGTATGTAGGAAAAAAAGCTTTAAAAGACGAAGGATTGTTTAACTGGACTGAGGGCAGAGATGTTTTTAGACATTACACATTAATCATGGGACGACTTCAGCACATCCATAGGACGCCTTTTACAGCTGCTTTCCACAGCCAGTCTGACTCGGGTCGATGTGTGTGTGTGTGTGTGTGTGTGTGTGTGTGTGTGTGTGTGTGTGTGTGTGTGTGTGTGTGTGTGTGTGTGTGTGTGTGTGTGTGTGTGTGTGTGTGTGTGTGTGTGTGTGTGTGTGTGTGTGTGTGTGTGTGTGTGTGTGTGTGTGTGTGTGTGTGTAGGTGAGGGATGCTGTGGCCGTGGTCCAGCTGCTGATGTGGTTGGAAAAGACAGTTCCTGGAGGAAAAGAGACTGAACTGAGTGCAGCGCATTACATCAACATGTGTCGTCAGTGAGTAGGACAAAAGAGGCCGCTGTCAATATGACTTTTACTTTTGACACAAGCGGGTATTTTTCTAACCAACCTGTAATTTTATCAGCCAAATTATAAGTAAACCTTTTTTTCTCATGGAACATTTTCAGAAAACAAAAGGACAACCGGGGTCCAAGCTTTGAGACCATCTCAGCAAGTGGACCAAATGCCGCTCTTGCTCATTACAGGTGGTGCAATTGTAATTAAACCAATTTTGTTGCTGTTTTGCGGACAAACATTTACAAACTGAACAACTCTGTTACAGTCCAACAAATGGAACAGACAGAAAGCTAACAGTGAACGAGATGTACCTGGTGGACTCTGGAGGACAATATCTGTGCGTGAATACACTTTTCATTTTAGCTTTTAACCTGAAGAGTCATGATTGTTCTCCATTTAGAGATGGGACCACCGACATCACACGAACAGTACACTGGGGCACTCCTACTGCCATGCAAAAGGTACGATATATACATTATAGATAGATATGATGTACTGTATACACACCTACATGATCCTATGCTTCACTACAGGAAGCGTACACTCGAGTGCTCATGGGAAATATAGAAATCTCACGTACAGTTTTTCCATCCGGAACGAGAGGTGTGTATGAGCTGTGAAGTCCTGCTATGAACAATTTAATGAGTCAGTTTTTGAGTAACAAGATCAAGTATATTTGTATTTTAGGTGTGAATATGGAAATGCTGGGCCGCAGAGCCTTGTGGGAGGTGGGCTTGAACTATGGACATGGAACTGGCCATGGTGTTGGAAACTATTTTGGAGTTCATGAATGTACGATTTATGCCTTTTATAATTGATGTTAACTTTTTGTAACGTCCACATTGAGTGTAACGGTTTCCTCAGGGCCTGTGGGCTTTCAGAGCAACAACATCCCCTTCACAGAGGGCATGTTCACATCTATAGAGCCCGGATACTACAAGGAGAACGACTTTGGCATTAGGATTGAAGACATTGCTGTGACTGTACCTGTTAAAACCAGGGTGAGACAAAGACATTAACATGTAGTTAAGAAACAAATCTGATGCAGTACTAACAGTGAAGGCTCTCTGCTTGTTCAAGTTAGGAAACAGGTTTCTGACGTTTGAGACCGTGTCTCTGGTGCCATACGACCGTAAATTGATCGACACTGCTCTCCTGAGCCCACAGCAGGTAGGTTCTCAAGCCAGAAATTGTAATGTACATTTGTCCAGCAGTGTTTGTTAGAACATTTGTAGTTATGGAAGAAAAACAACATTATTGTTGTTTTGTAAATGTGCTTGTTCTTTTGTTTTTTTCCCAGGTTGCATTTACCATCCAAATCACCTAAAGTTTACTTTGCATTATTCATCCACACTGTAGAGCCTACTGGACAAACTAACCATAGCCACCTCTGTTTTGCTTCAGTAGTAACAGTAACAAGTTATCTGCTCGGATTGATGATCAATCCACTTAAATACACAAAAATAGGAAAAAAGTAAATCATTCGGGAAGAGAATGCATACAAATGATTTGTTCTTTACAAATAGTCGAAATGAGGCAGAAAGTCAAACACTTTTTGATGTAATTTTGAATTGTACGATTGTGTGGTGCTCACATCATTTCTTGTTCCCACAGCTGCAGTGGCTCAACACTTACTATGAAACGATCCGGAGGGTCCTGGGCCCCGAGCTGGACCGTCAGAACCTGTCTGAGGAGAAGTCCTGGGTCCTGAGGAGCACAGAGCCCATCACAAACGCTGCAGCCTCAATCACCTTCTGTGCTTTGCCAGTCCTCACTGTGTGTGCGCTGATTCAAAGCCTCCTGTAGCGCCCCCTGCCTGCTGAAGCAGATGTGTGCTCCAAGCAAACTATGCAGTGTCTGCTGAGAACAGCTACTTTTCTACTTTTCATATGTTTTCAAAAAATTTTAAGACGTGTGTGTTATACTGTAGTTTAGTCTCAAAATAATTACGTATGATGTTTTAGTGATTTTAAGACTTCAAAATGGACAATTAAAGATTTCGTATTTTATTAAATGCTTTGACCAAGTTTGTTTACATTTTAATGACGGGCACTTAGATTAAAACACAATTCAGTTTTTCAGAAACAAAGCTGATGAATATAACGTAAACACATGAACTGTTCCATCTGCACATCTCAGGTGTCAAGTCCCTAATATTTATCTCTGAAATGGTGGTTTGCGGTTATGCGGCCGTTCACTAAAGAGGAACTAGAGAATGAGATCATCACTTTAGTGAACTGCTCCACTTCTGCATGCTTTTGTCATTGCTACTTTTACAGAAAACAACACCTAAACGTTTCCAGTCAAACCAGAGCAAAAATCATCTTTATTTCCTCCAAACTGACTTTTGTCATTAGTACAGAGCTGCTGTCTGGTCTGCATTTACCTTTGAGCAGATACATTCTTCAACTTTTTCAAGTGAGGTTTGATGCCAGTGCTCAGTGAATTGACGGGAAACTAAACTGGGGCATCCTTTTATCATGTGGTTAGGCTACTCTACCAAAATAACAAGCTGCTTACAATGTACTTCCCTCTTTGCCTCTGTAACCAAAGGTTCCACCCACTGCACACAAATAGTTAAAATAAGATAAATATAGTGTATAATTATTGATGATGCTTTTTCATTCATTGTATTCACACAAGAGTCACTAACTTTATTTTTCTAATATTTGCTCTACATTGATTTAAAGGCAAATATCTTCTGCTAGTAAGTTATTTTCAAATTGCATACAGCTCTCATTGTAACCACTTGTTATTACAAAACTACCTTTTCAGCGTGCTAAGTTCAACTTGAGTGAGCAGCACCGAAACCGTAAGGTACCTCCCTTGAGTCTGAGACCATGTGACTTCCTCTGTCTCTGCTTTGCCTCTGCTCTGTCTCTGCAGTTCTGCGTTTCCCTCACAAAACGACAAGTGTTTGTGAGGTCCAGAAAACCTGGATCCCGAGACGATGCTACGGAGAAGACCTTCAAATGCATCTGAGAAGGAGCAGTTGCAGAAGAAAAAGGTGAGATTTTGTCACCATTATTTAAATGTGATATATATGTCAGAATAAATGCACATGTTGAAATATAGAGTTGCAGGTTCAATGAACAGGATGTGGTTTATTTTAAAGAGTCTCAAGTCACAGCATACAGCAGTTAAATATTAGTTTATCTGTTTACATGGTGGGGTAAGATTTACAATTTTTTTTTAACCAAAAAAATAGTACCAAGATTTACCAAAGACATGACTTGTAGATGAGGAGAGGAGTCTTATTGACAAACCTCATTCTGAACCTTGTCCTGACGCATGTTTGACTCAAGTGGAATCTTCGGTGGCTTTCTGAAGCACAGACCTCACTTCAGCTTCAGTTTAAGTTGGCAGGTGCAGTGATTGGTTGAGAACAATTGTTCAAGCTCTGCTTGTGTCCTGGGGTCTTTACTGAGAACCGTGACACTGTATGTGACAACACAGTCACAATGTTATTGCCAGTTAAGTGACATCACTGCTCTGCTACTGACACAAATACAGAATGTCTTTCCTTTTAGTCACACATTATTTTAGTGTATGACACTTCAGTGTTTCATCGTTGCAAATTATTGTTTGTTAGCCCTGCCCAGAGAACCCTGTTAAGACCGAGCAAAGAAAAGTCATTCAGAAGGACCAGTGGAGAACAGTGGACCAGGCATAACATGTTCCCCATGGCACAAGGTGTAGCTCGGGTCCAGCTTCCACTCAATGGAAAGAGAAGTGTCAAAGTAAAACAAATCTTATGGATTTGTTGATGTCTGTGTTTATGAGGACCAAAACGGTCCAGAATTTGTGTTTATATCTAGTGTTGATAAAACTAACCATAAAAGAACCGTATCGGGACCTCATAACTATGTATTTGTTTGTTTTCAGATCACATTACAAAGGTCAAGCAGCTTTAAGGATTTTATGAAACACAAACCCACATCACCTGTTGCTGTGGACAAAGAGTTCTGTTTGGAAGAGTCGGTGAGTTTCATTACCTTTGGTTCTGGATTTAAAGGTGCTGCTTCCTTTTTCTACTGTATCAGTTTGTTTACAAGGCTGTGCCCTGCTGCACGTGTGTCATATGGCCCCAGAGAAGTGCAACTTCCTCTGCAGCGGTGCACAGGACGTCCTCTGTGTGCAGCAGCCAAGCACAGACAAAGACATTCGTTTTCCTTTTATTAAGTAGATTGAATATGTCACAAAGGTTTGACAAAGCAATTGAATGAGAAAGTCACAACTCTTTTTAATTAAAATGTGTAAGAAGAAAAAGATGACGTGATTTTAAAGTTAGTTAGTTAATTGCAAAAAAAAAATCTTGTTTAATCCCTAAGGCGTGAAGTGAACATGTTTTTAGTAAAGTGATGTGTGTAGGTGAGGGATGCTCACGGACTAAAGGTGGAGCCCTCATGTAGAAATTCTGCCCAAAAAAGGGTTAATATTATACCTGTCCCAGGCTGGAACTATTAGAGCAATAGGGAATCTGACAGAACTGTGGGTCCCTTCTGATTTAGGGGCCTCCAACATTTATTCTTTCTTATTTCTGACTTAGTTGTAGCTAAAGCCTGTTTGCCTCAGTGGGATCACTTCCAATTCTTTCACAGTTATCAATTATAATGTTGACAATTCCATGTCTGCTACAGGTAAAGGTACATTTGTAGTTACTAGTTAGTTTTTATAATTGTCTACTTTAATGTTCAGGTAATGTAAGGAGATATATCCTTTTGGCTTCACTTCTGACTCCATATCTCATGGATCTCAGGTTCAGGTTGAAACAGATTGTGATGTTTGCAGGCAGCAGAAGGAGCGCAGGCCGAGGAGAAGTGCGGCATTAAACTGGGAAAGAAATGGCGTACTGTCATTTCACGCACAATGACGCGCAAAACCTCCAAGATGGTGCAGAAGGCCCTGGCGGAGGAAGGAGTAAGTGTTTGGGATTCTCTGAGAAACTAGAAACATATGCATTAATACTTTTATTAAATTATGCTATCAGGTACAGTTCCTGTTTCTTTCAGTTGTATTATTATATTGTGAAAAAGAATTAAAATCCGATGCTTTTTATATGAAAATAGCATTTCCAAGTATTCAGAATACAACATTCTAATTGGACAAATGTACAGAATATATGATAAATTAATACTAACCAAAGTAATGCAGACTCTCTGTAACTACAACTCTTTACAAAGTATTCTCCCCAACACTGGGAGTCAGCATCCATGATTCTCGAGGATTCACTTTGTCAAGAAGACATCAAGATAAATAACTCTTGCTCAGACTAAAACTGAGAAAAGAGAAAGTTTAGGCAGAGCTGCTGTGTCGCCTCCTGGTGGACACACACTTACATTGTATCTTGAAGATATTTTGTACAGGTCCAGCATTAGCAAATAGCAAATGTAGTTTTAATTTATTGGATTGTTTGTGGTTATTAAATGTTGTTTTGTTCAGGTTGACAGCTGTGAGGAGCTGTCCCCTGTGTCTCCAGACTTTGTCCCAGATCTGAGTTTTGGACAGAGGACGTCGGTGTGTTCCACTGGCTCCGAGGACACTGTCCCCAGCCTCACCCGGCAGCTGTCCTCCAGTGAGTCTTCAGCAGACCAGATTTTCCCATTTTGATTCATTCACATTGGCCTGAGTAATCCATTGTGAAAACAGACAGTAATTTAGCACATCCCTGTGCTTTCACTATTATGACACAAAAGAAGATATTCTGAAGATCATTCTTTTGTCAGTACAGCTTCACCAGGGCCCTTTGTTTGCAGAGGAAACAGAGATGCAATCATTGGTTGACATTTGCCAAGCTTTGCATGCTTCCTGTGGTTTTTAGTGAGAACAGTGAGATAGCAACAGTCAGTGTAGAATGCGAGAATAGAGTCATACTTTTTTATTTCTGGTTGCTTGAAGTGACTACACGGCTTCCTATAAAACTACATTACACACTTTGCAACATGTCCCTGTCCCTGGTGCAATTGTGGCCTCACTCAAGTCACTACATAATCAGATTTTAAAAATCAAGTTTTTTCTTCCTTTTATTATTCAGTGAATATACAACTGGTCCCTACAAACTGTGACATGAGATAAAATGAGAATTATTTATTTTTTTATTTATTGTTTATTTGGTTGGGACAGTACATGTTAAAGAGCACATCACTCCGGATTGTAGCCATGGGCACATTTCCATCCGTTGTCCCACATTCGCACTCACAAACACACACTCGTTCATCCTGAGCTATTGTTTGTAGTGGGGAGGTCTGATCTCTGCAGTTTGCAGTGCTAGAGTTCAGAGAGGATGTTAAATGGATGTGATGGTTGTGTGTCTCAGACTGTGACCGGCAGAGTCTGGACAGCGGCTACAGTCAGCGGGACAGTATGCGACTGGAGGACAGCACGTACTCAGGACCGTTCTGTGGTCGCGCTGTCGTGCACACAGACTTCACCCCCAGCCCCTACGACATGGAGTCACTCAAACTGCAGGTGAAGCTCCACTATCTGTCTGATCTTCAGGTTTGGGAGGTTGTTGACTGGTTTTGAATGTCCTCATCATTTCCAGACATCTATCTATTCGTATGATTATTGTGTGTATGATTATTATCAAAGGTAAGTTTGTGTAAGCCCTCAGTCGTACAGGGATTAGTCAAAGCAAAGGAAGGTTTCTCACCCATCATCTGTACTTCTTAGCAAGTTTTCCCGACGTTTCGTCCTCAACCTGGGGACTTCTTCAGGGAATGAATTCTCGGACCGCGCGTTGGAGATTTATAACCTATGGGTGTGGTTAGCCACACCCTAATCCTGATACTAACTCGTAAACAATCTCAGGTCTGCTTGATGTAAAAGGGAGCAGGTCTAACGACCCTGCTGAGGCTAACGACCCTAACTCCTTAGCATGTCACTGACCTATTGTCTGCTGGGATGCTCAAGTGGAGTGCAGGTCTCACCCCTCCTTACTCATTAGCATGTCACTGACCTTGTCCCAAGTTAGGGCGTTGTTTTTAGGATGTCGTCATAGATGCGAGGCAAAACAAATCTTAACCCTCCTCCTCTGTTAAGAGAAGGTTTTTGTTTCCTCACAAAAATGGCTTCTTTCACTCCTCTCTCAAACCAATTCTTCTCCCGAGCCAGAATTTTAACCTCTGTGTCATCCACCGTGTGGTTGGAGGCCTTGAGGTGGAGATGACCAAGGGACAGCGCCAAGCCATTGGTTTCGATATGTAGACGATACATGGGTTAAGTTAAAGAAACAGGAAGTGGAACCATTTTCAGCACACATTAACTCGGTGGACCCCTTTATAAATTGAGGATGCTAAGGAGAGTGAACTCGCCTTTCTAGATTGTACGGTCATCATACTGGAGAACGGACAATTAGAGACTGAGGTCTTCAGAAAGTCCACTCACACTGACCAGTACTTGGCCTTTGATTCAAATCATCCGCTACAACACAAACTCGGGGTCATTAGAACGCTTCAACACCGAGCCCACCAGGTCCCCACTGGCTCGGAGGGAAAGAACAGAGAAACCAAACATGTTCAGAGAGCACTTTCCAGATGTGGCTACCCCAAGTGGTCTTTTACTAAAGCCCAAAGGACGAGAAAGGCCAGAGACACAGTCCTACAGACAGAAGAAAGTAGGAGGAGAGGGGTGTCCTTACCGTATGTGGCGGGAGTTTCAGAGAAACTACAAAGAATCTTTAGGCAACACAAAATCCCTGTGTCTTTCAAACCTTTCAACACGTTAAGACAGAAATTAGTGCATCCCAAAGACAAAACACCCAGACACAAACAGAGCAATGTGGTGTATTCAATTAAATGTAGTGAAGAGGAGTGCACTGACCACTATATTGGAGAAACCAAACAAACTCTACAGAAACGACTTTACCAACATCGTAGAGAAAACTCTAGTGGGCCACAGTCGGCTGTTCATCTCCACCTCAAGGCCTCCAACCACACGGTGGATGACACAGAGGTTAAAATTCTGGCTCGGGAGAAGAATTGGTTTGAGAGAGGGGTGAAAGAAGCCATTTTTGTGAGGAAACAAAAACCTTCTCTTAACAGAGGAGGAGGGTTAAGATTTGTTTTGCCTCGCATCTATGACGACATCCTAAAAACAACGCCCTAACTTGGGACAAGGTCAGTGACATGCTAATGAGTTAGGAGGGGTGAGACCTGCACTCCACTTGAGCATCCCAGCAGACAATAGGTCAGTGACATGCTAAGGAGTTAGGGCCGTTAGCCTCAGCAGGGTCGTTAGACCTCCTCCCTTCTACATCAAGCAGACCTGAGATTGTTTACGAGTTAGTATCAGGATTAGGGTGTGGCTTACCACACCCATAGGTTATAAATCTCCAACGCGCGGTCCGAGAATTCATTCCCTGAAGAAGTCCCCAGGTTGAGGACGAAACGTCGGGAAAACTTGCTAAGAAGTACAGATGATGGGTGAGAAACCTTCCTTTGCATTATCAAAGGTAGGTGTAACTTTTTCATAACATATACGTACTTTCTGGCCTCATACTCTTTCCCTGAAGTAACGTATGAATTTTGTCAGTATTGTAAACGCCAACGGAAGCTGAATGTGTCATGAAGTAAAATGAGAAAAGAACTCAAAATGCAAGTAAAAGATTCATTTATAAAGACTTAAACCAAATCCAGGGTAAAAAACATACACATTAATGAATGTTCCGTCCTTCAAAATAACTTCATTATTCTATAATATTATATTATTATTCATATATTTTATCTCTACAAAAAAGGGTAAGGTCTGTTCTCGCCCTTTAGTTCTTTTGAAAACCGTTCCATAAAGCAAATGTCTCTAACTTATTATTATTATTATTATGATTATTATTTTGTATTATACAATAAATACAAAGTGTCTTATTTATTCATGTATTATTTCTACATTGTGATACACGCCTCTTCATCCAGAACGCCAGCATTTGAAAGGCCAGACCTAACTCTCAACCGTGGCTTAGATCCTTCCCCAAATACTTACATTCTTTCTCTTTATTTTTATAACATAATTTTTCTAATAAAAAACAGACCAAATCTCAACAACTTTCTTCTCTAAAGAACTTCACACAATTGTTAATTTACCAAAAACTAATTAGAACTGTCTAATGGTGAACTGATTTCTTAATCTGAACTGGAATGATTCCACAAACGTTGCTGCTCCCTCCTCAGTGCGATCTTCAGCTGCTTCATGCTCTTCTGTTCACTGTTGCAGAAAGGCGACATAATCCACATCATCGAGAAGCCTCCGGTCGGGACGTGGACGGGGAAACTGAACTCCAAAGTGGGATCTTTTAAGTTTATTTACGTGAACCTGCTGCCAGAGCAGAGCGCCTCCACCAGACCACCACCGCGCAACCGTAACAAGAGAAGAAGCCAAAGTAAACCCAGTAGCCTGGAGGAAGTTCTGGACAGCATTGGACTCACAGTGAGAAATTTACTATTACAAAATATACATCATTTCATCTGTTCATTTAAATAGGGATATACAGTATGCTCATTAACCATGTCTTCTTCCCATACGTCCATAATATTAATGTCACTTTTGGGATGGCACAATTGTACGTCATATTAGCCCGAAAATTATGTATTTATTTGTTTCTAAGTATTATAGACACAACCATTTGTTTCATAAATACTTTGTTTTTCCCAACAGAAAGCTTCTATTTATGTACAGTAAGAGTAAGTGGCAGCACAGCGGCAGAGTGGTTTTTACTCTCGCTTTTCAGCATGTCCTATTTTCGGATCCCTGTTGGAAATGGTTCTTTCAGAGTGGAGTTTGCATGTTCACCTTGTGTCTGCGTAGGTTTCCTCTGGGTGCTCCGGTTTCCTCTACCACTAAAAACATGCATCATAACTTAAATACTCCAGCTCCGCTCTTGACCAAGCTGAGCACCAACATCTAGAATTGGTCCCCGGGCGCTGCCCTGTGGTGACCACTGCTCCTGACAGAGGCCCTTTGGCATTGCAGATTGGCTCAAATGCCATGACACACTTCCCAACAATAAAGTATACTTCACTTTAAACTTGTAAACAAATCAAACCCAACAAACTGTCTGAGAGTTGTGTGAGTGATGGTTCCCTATTTTTCACTGAAAAATCTGATCTACAATTACATGCAAGTAAAAAGTAATGATTTGACCAAACCCTTTGATGGGTACGTACGATTTCCACACAAAGTGATCAGGGATACACAGTGTGCATGAGTGCTACTGTAACTACTGTACATGTTATTCTTCTAAAGTCTGTGAAGACTGACGATTGTGCAATGCTCGCTGCAGGAGCTGAGTGGTGTGCTGTGGATGCATGGGTTCCAAAGCCTGGAGGACTTCACTGGTCTGAGCGAGTCTCACCTCAATGAACTGAACATCACTGACCCAGAGCAGCGCTGCAAGATCCTGGACGCCACAGAGTTTTTCAGAGACTGTGAGTCCAACCTCTCCACATGCATCTGTCTAGAGTCAAGCTTTACTTTGATTTACTTTGTCACAGTAGAATTTTCCAGATTGAATTAAGATTAAGAGATCCTTTATTCATCCCACAATGGAGAAATGTCAGCATCGCATCACAAGTAAAAGAACAGTAGGATTGAGAGCACACAACACAAGATAAGTGAATATTTAGTATCGCACAACTCTAAACCTAAAAATATAATGCTTACAAGTATACAATGTAAACTTGTATGTATATATCTGCAGACATATCAGTAATTCACTTTAGTGCAAGAATATTAGAATAATGAGGTTTCAAATGTTCACAGATGTGAGTACTGTATGTTAGCAGCACGAGGGCATGGGCTAAAAGTGACAGACACATGGGGTCCCAGATTGTGCTGTTTCCATTTTTGCTGCTGACTCGATTTTAGAAGTTCACAGAGAATGATAAATGATAATAGACAACTTGGACAATTTACGTTTCAAAATGTTTTGTGATGAATGTGTTACTTTTGTTTCCTGAAGCTGACGAAGAGTCCGACTCGGAGGAGGAAGAAGGTGAATGTGTGAAGACCACGAAGGATCCCAGAGATTCAGGTTGTTTTGAGAGCTCAGAGAACTTAGAAAAACCCAAAACTGAAGCCTCAACAGAACAAGAGCAAGAGCTGGAATACCCTGAACCAACTCAGAACGAGGAGACCGAGGAGAACGAGGAGATCGCTGTGGAGGAGCAGATGAAGGAGCTGACGCTGACTGAAGACGTGTTCCAGTGATCATCTAAAGCTGGAGGAAGGTTTTTAAATCTGCTCAAATGTAAACGGCAAAAGTTACACAGATTGTATTCATGTCTCTTGTAGTTGATGTGAGAGACCCACAAATGGAAAGACATCAAAACAATACTTGAATTCAGATTATTAACTGTAAAATGTCTCATTCTGGCAAAGACTTCAAATAATCATGTTTAAAACACATCATTAGGTGGATGAGATAACCGTGGAAACCATAAGTTTATGTTTAAATCGCACTCTTCACTTGGAAGTCACTCCAGCCTATTCTGCCTGAATACAAGACACCTAGTGGACACCCCTTGTGCTAGCTTGTCGCGTCAAGACTAATTGTTGATTAGAAAACCCATGGGCAATGTCAGCACATTGGAAAACTGTTGACTGAAGCTGTAACAGCGGGCGTCCTGAGAGAGTCTGGAGCGTCAGCATTTGTGGCTTTGACTCATCATCTTGACACATTATCTGTTCATTTTGAAAAACTCAAAGACTCAAACTGAAATTTGATGGAGAACATAAAACTGTCTGGGAGACACCAACGTTTGAGCAGTAGTGTAAATATGTGTAATGATTATTGTTTCTGTATGTTTACACTTGTTTGACCTTTGTAATGCTGCACTATGAGCATTATGCATTATATGGTAGAGACATGTAGCAGAGAATAAGGAAGTAATTTTAACTGTTGTTAAAACTGGAGTCAAGAAGGAGATGGTGAAACAAAGCTGTAACTAGCACTAGAACGTTGTATGTTTTTACATCTTATTGTGACATGAAGAAAGTGCCAATATTTGAATAAATAATAATAAATAAAACTTATTCATTCTTTATAAAATTCAGGCAGATGTAAAATATGTCTTACACATTTCAGTTTCAGACTGGATCTAAAAATGTCTCAACAACAATGTCTTTTGAGTAAACACGTCATTATTGCACCAGAAATGACCATAACCATAAACCGTCTCCAAGGCAACAGAGCCACAATCATCATGTTAAAACAAATAGGTGTGTGCTCCATCTGCCCGATAAAGACATCGTCACATTAACACAAAGAGCCAAGCTTCAGGTTTGTCATTTATTTAGCGGACACGGGTCATGTAAAAGTGGGTGTAATGAAGTACACACGGTCACAGTGCTGATGTAATCAAATTACAGAAGATTCATTTAAAAATGGGTTTGAACTATCAGCTAAAACTGGACACAGACGTAAACTTGTATGAGTAGTGTTTCTCGCAGAATTACCGATGACAAGTTTGCATCAACACAAAAGAAAACACCATTAAAAATAAATACATTATTCATGATCAATATTTGCTTTTGCCTTGAACCAGTAGTGTCCTTTCAGATACATAACCCACCATGTAACTGTATAAATACTTATTTACATATAGCAGAGCTAAATACTTGGTAAAAAGCTAACTTTCTCGTTACCAGGACATTCTTTTTCCCTTTTATATTTTGAAGACATTTGAATTTGACAAATCTGGGTTTAGTTCAAACTTGTAATACTATTAACACACTGCGTTTCTACTAGTATTTCACAAACAATGTCTTTCATACAACACAGGCACTAAAACAAACTACCAGCTAATATCACTGTAGTCTAAGAAGTGGCTCTCGGTCCCTTGTTAGTCCCTTGTCAGTCCCTGTATAAACCTAATCCCAGTGTCCACGCAGGGAGCAGTCGGACCACTGCTGTGTTGGAGGGGCGGGAGTGAGATGAGACATGAACAGACAGTCTGGAAGATCTCAAGTGCACATTATAACTAACACTGGCTGTAAATATATCAAAACATGCGCCTACCAGTTCCACCACTCGTTGGCCAAAGAATACAAGGTTATATCATCTATCTACAATTCAACAAAGGCGGTTGTTTTGTTTAGTCAGTGGTTCCCAGCAGCAAACAAGCAAAGAGCCGGTGGGATTTTGGCATCACTGGGATAATTGTAAGAGCATAGTCACCCAGAGAAAATTAGATGTTAAACTGACATTACATCACCAAAGCACGACGTCGCTGCCCCAAACAACTTACTTCCGGTTTTGTTTGTTATGGCATGGATCCACTGGACTAAACTGTATAATGTTGGCATTTCTGAATGGTGTTTAAGTTGCGAACAGGTGGTGGATCTCAGTTGGACTGGACAGAGCAACTGCAGCTATAAGGCACTGTTTCAAGTGTCTGCCTTCACTCATGAGAACACTCAGAGGGTCACCTGATTTGACATTTCCCATGACGTATCAAAATGGAAGGACTGTTTTGATAAGCACTAGACTGCAGCAGTAACCTAAAAGGTAGATAGACTTTCTTACAGGAGAATTACACACCCCACTGCGCGCACTGGCCCCCTCTGCAGGACATCATGATGAACTTCAAAATCTTCAGCTCCTTTTGTGATTTGCATAGAGCATGTTATATGTGCACAACAAAAAAAGAACGTTGCCAATGGCTCGATTATACTGTCACAATACACGTTGCTATGCGGTTTAAAATAATAGATTCGCTGTCTTTTGTTCCCAGCATTGTCTTGTCCATGCAGTGTTAGGAGCAGATACAGCGGACGTCCCATCCGTCTCCGTGAGAGCTCATATTTGATTAAGAGGTCTTTGTAAGGAGACAGTTACTCTTGTGGTCCAGTGATTGAGTGAAGCACACACCAATTGTTCAACTGTTCATTTCCTGAGTGTGCAAGAGGGGGCGGGGCAAGGACACAGGCCCCACCCTCTGATAGAGTTAATGGGGTTTGTCCTTGGCAATGGAAGGCTCAGCGTCAGTCTCTGGGGAGGCCAGCGGAGGCAGCTTGGCAGTGGGCGGGAGCTCCTCTTTGGGAGAGTGGTTCTTCTCTTCTGCTGAGCCAGCACCGGCCTTGGCTTCGTCAGGCGCGTGTTCATTTGGGATGAGAGGAGCTGTGGTTTTCTGTGGACAGAGATGTACGGCTAAGAGAAGCAGAACTGCTGCCTACGCAAAACAAGATCTAATGTTGAGGCATGTTAAGGTTAAGATAAGATAAACTTTATTGATCTCACAATGGAGAAATGTACATTACTCCTCGACTGTATATGTGACAATATGCAAAACAGTGTTCATTTGGAAATATGTTCATTTACATTTAGTCATACTTTGACTGTATTCATAAGCTTAATTTTTTATAAAATTAAATATAGCAAAATGAACAGAATACAAATCCAGATTTACTAACATTCTTATGAGTTTTTTTTTCTGTTTTTGTTGTAAAATATATGCATAGTAAATTTAAAGCTTAAAACAGTTTTCATACATCATAAATGATTTAAATATGTCGTTGTTGTACATTTAAATTGTGGTTTGAGGCAGTGGGATTGAAAAGTGGAACTTGTGTTTTGAATCTTGTCTCAACTCGTTCCTTTCAATTATTCATGTTCTGTTTTTATGATGAAAATAAGAAGTGTTCGTACTTGTCGACAGTTTTATTGTCATTTTAGTTTAAAGTTTAGTCATTTTTCTTTCATTTTGACATAATACATTCGATGGACAATGTTGCCCTTCAAACCATCGTGTGCCTTCACTTTCTTCACACGGTCTCATCCAAATAAATAAATAAACAAGTGAGCAAAGAGACTGCTCTAACTACGCTGATGGAATAGTTACTCATAGTTTGATTGTGAGGAGCAGACTTACTGTGGTCTGTGGTGCAGCGTCGTTGGTGGAGGTAGGAGCGGGCGCCTCGTCCTGCATCACACCTCTTCGGTCCAACACACTGAACACAACAAACACAGGGAAGATTTTATAACTGTTAAATAAGAAAAGCCAGAACCAGGGGAACTTTCCAGGATACTTTCTATGCAGCATTTGGCTTCTCACAAAGGTTTCATTATTTATTTATTTTTTATCTTTATATTTCATTTCTGTATGTTATTGATTATTAATCCTCTATCTCTGATTAAGTTTCAGTTTTTTTCTGTTTCACAAATCCAAAAAAAAAAAACTCTGGCTTTTGAACATTTTAAATCCGAGCAGCAGATCACTAAAGCGAGTTGAATAATTTATTTTACGGTGCGACTTTGTCAAATCCTTCGTGAATCACTCGTCAAGGAATGAACTATCTGTGGTGGTCCATCTGTAGCAGTGGAAATGGGGGCCGCCTGAACAATGGTGTCTTGAATGCAGGAGTTTACACACAAAACACAATATCCTGTTGTGGAAATGAGAAAAATAATGATGGATGTGGTTCAATTCTCTTGTGTAAAAGTTGCGTTACATGTCCCCTTTAATCCAAACATACATTGTGTTGTTTGCGTTTGGGTGTTACCTTGGAAATGTGGGCCCACAGAGCACCTCGCAACAGTTTTTGATGATGTTCTTGTGGCTGTATGGATTCTGGAGGCGGTTCTTCCCAGACCAGGAGCCTTTGATCTGTTAAAACAATGTGACAATCCAATTACCATAAAACTTCACAGCTTTTAAGTTTTAAAAACAGCTCATGTCCTTCAAAATAATCCCTTTCACATGTTTTCATCCCAACAGCTTTGGTTCAACAAGACTTTTGGGGGTATTTAACAGTTCTTGGCCATTTTAAACTCTGCATGGCAAAAACCAACATGCCAAAAAAATTATATTGCAATACGCCCATTTGGGATAGGTGGCTTCACAGAGACCTTTCTGAGTCTGATTAATCCAACATGTAACCACAGAAAACATACAGTATATAGAGGACTCACTCGTTTTGATCATGGACGTATACAAATCAAATGTTTACAGTACCGTGCGGATACTGCACAGCCATTTATAATCTCGGTTCCAAAGTATGAGTGCTATCACACATTACTGATAGAAAATAAAGACAAAGACAAATCGAGTTGTTTTGTAGCTTTGTCCATATTCTCTGCCCGTGTAAACCTTGTCAATATTTCAGACCAATGCATCTGCCTTGAAGTGACTCATTTCTATGCTCTTACATAGACGTTGGCAATTCATTTATTTCAAAAAGGAAAAAGGGCATGTGGTTAGTTTCACATTTCTGTACAGCGCCTGAGAACTATCGGATGACTTACCAGTATGAATATTGTTATTGAAATAATTAAAACAAGTATAGACCTATTCTCAATACTGCCCACCTCTATACATAGTACACTTTGAACAATGGTTACCTTGGCCTTGGCCAACATGGACTTGCTCGACAGGTTTTACCACAATCAGACTAAACGGAGCTACTACAGGTCACACTGGACTAACTACAACTTCAACAAACACCAAGTGCTGGGATCACCTCGGACTGCACTGAATGACTCCAGAGGCTTTAGTTTGTGAAATGTAGGTCAAGCCTAGGTGCTGCTTTGAGCGTTCCGAGCCCAGCAACCACACTCAAGAAGCCGCTTTTTAGATTTTCGTTTTATTCTGCTGTCGTTTTCCCCTTGGCTCTGTGCAAGCTCAAGTCCCTCTCCTTCTCCCCCTTCCTCCTCTCTGCATTTTGGCGTCATGCCCAGCCCTGCAGATATCGATGCGTCTATTATTAGTCAGATCACAGATATTGAAGCAGCGGGTCTGACAGCCTTTGTGTCAATTCTTACAGCAACGTTGCTCCGTGTGTGTGCATCTGCGGGCTTCGCTAATGATTAAATGTGCAAAAATGAGGCCAGCCATCCCACAGGAGCCAATGAGAGGGTCATAAATAAGTTATTACAAAGTATGAGTGTTAGCAGTAGCTTTCAGGCATGTGGGGCCTTAGACCGCTGCTGCAGCTCAGTGCCAGAGCGCCTTCCGACCACAAATACCTCAATAAAGAACACAGAAGGTTGAAGAAGTTGTATATACAGACAGAGAGAAGTGTCCGTTCATCCACCTGCAGAGCGTCACATCGACCCTCACGTTGCCCATGCAGTGACTAAACAGTGACTAAACAGTGGCTCGATGGTAATGTGCTCAACAAATCAATACCGTCCCTTCATTTAGCCTCAGACGGGAAGCGAGTTTAGACAGGAATTATTTTAGGACCAAAAGAAACAATTCAAGCACTTTTAATAAGTAGTCAATTTCCGTGCATTAGACTCCTGCCATTAGCATTTTGTTTGAGAAACACATTATGCCGCATTGAGCTGCGCTTCTCCTGTAATTCTAATTGTTTAAGAGGATAAAAAGGCACATTGTATTTTAGTGTTAGTGTAGGGAAGAAAAATCCATGAATACATTGTAGGCAAGCAGGATTGTCCTCCTTTCTCAACTGTTTTCCTCTGGGTGGCCACTGACAATTATCTGGGTAACATATACTATTTACATTTAAATAAACTTTCAGCAATATCTTCACCAATCACTCCATAATTGGCATTTCCGAATAAGTACAACACAAAATCACTGAACAAAATTACAAAGTACCATACATACATGCATACAACTCACCTACTCAACACAATGCAATACGACTTAGAAGAAAACTAATGCAACACACACTTTCTGACCCCACACCTCTCTCTCTCCCTCTGCTCTCTCTCTTTACTGCGTGCATGTTCTCCGGTACTTCCTCTTTACACAGTCTTTTAAAATTCAGGTTTGACCATGTTTCCCTTTGGTGACAGCGTCATTAACCACACGCATCATGTGTGTAAATAAGAATCTCTGTAAAGTAATTCTTTACAGAGATTACCTGGTTTCATTTTGATATGTTTTGCTATTTTTTGTTTGTAAATTGCGTTATTAAAAGCCAAAACGAGCAAATTTTCACCTAACTGGCAACCCAAATGAGAAAGTCCTCCTTTCTGATTGGAGGATCTGCTTGAAATTCATAAACATAAATATTATATTTTTAATTTTACAGTTCGACCTATTATCTTGGGACACATCAAAAATGTAATTTAATAATAGAATTACTGCAAACTATCTATTTAATGCCATTAAATAGATAGTTTGCAGTAATGTCCGTTATATATAAAGTTTCCAAAAACAAGTATTATCCATGTTTAATATACTTCCCTGCTCTACACTGATTGGACCAAACCAGTTGTCTGCACTTCCTGCTGATGTAATGCTCTCAGTGGCGTGAAAAAGGGAAGTGAAAACCCCAAATAAAGCAGATGCAAAAAGGCCAAAGTGAGAAAGTCACTCACGTCCTCGTTGGTGGTCTGGTTCAGAGAGATCAGGTACGTGTGGAAGCCGGTCAGTCCCACCACTGACCACAGGGTGAAGAAGCAAACCAACAACTCGATCACCGTGAGCCGCAGTTAAAGAAACACCATTAAACATTGACCAACAGTCGAGACAAAGGGAAACTTATGACATCAGGGACAACAGGAAGACAGAAGTATTTTTACACAAACTCAACCACCACCCAAACTTTAAACCCAAACTCATGAACAAAGCCTTGTGCTAAAATAATGCAACACGTGGTCTTTGAAAATTAATAAAACACTTTTGTTTTGTTTTTCCAGGACCTATTATTTATTTTGATGTGGAATTGGACCAAACAGAGACTTTTAAGCACCACTACTGATATTTTTTCCTGTAATATTCCTTCTTTTTATTTGTTCATGCAGATCTGAGTAGCACTGTATCCCACAGTTAATTTCCCTTGGGACAATAAAGTTTATCTTATCTTATTCGAAGGGTCAACATTTCATAATGTATCAAATATAAATACTTTTTAGGACTCTGCTGATGCACTGGTCTAGAATTTGTGAGTGCATTTACGAACATTGAAGCTCTGGGTATGAATCAACGGCTCCTTTGTGTTTTTCTAATGGCTTCTCTCATCTGTTGTTCACAAAGTTATCAAATTATTAAAGAGAAAAGCTGCTGTAAAAAACAGCAAATTGAATATTGATGAAAGTAGGACTAGAAATGGGAGAAACGTGAACCCACACTATACAAACCACGCAAACTTTAGAATCAAATGAAAGGATATGTTCCAGGTGTGTCCTTCAAGGTGTTCAGGAAGCCGCTGACCACGGAGCCTGAAACATAAACAAGAAATATTGAAATACTTTGAATACATTTGCTTATATATCATCATTCGCTTCATCAGATTATGAAAAGCCGTCAATATAGTTTTAATTTCATTGTTTTGACTTCTCAAGTGACACTGTTTCTTAGTAACATACTTGTGCTTGGAGTTGCATATCTGAAAAAATAAACCAATTTAACTAAATTACACATACAGACAAAGACACACATTACTTACGCATGGCCACGTGGACGATGTTGAAGGTGAAGATGTAGACGGTGAGCAGTGACAGCGACAGTGTGAACATGTAGAAGTATCTGTAGTTCCTCTTTCCCACACAGTTACCGACCCACGGACAGTGATGGTCGAAGCGGTCTGCACCAGAGGAAGATCAGCCACATCATCATCAAGTAATCAAAACAACAACACACTTTCTGGTTTGTTCATTCTGTCAGGACAGGGGTAAAGTAATCACCAGGGTTTGTTTGTCTGCCTGGTTGGTTAGTTAGTTAGCAAGATAAACAAATGAGTTATGGTTACCAAATGTTTTGTCTAAAGCTCAAAAATTGTCAGGGAATAAAGTATTTTATTTTGGAGGTGATACAGATCGATGTCTGGATCCAGGAATAGTTTAAGGAATGGAACTGAAACTCTTGGTAGAGGTCTGCGCTCTACGAGTGCTTTTCAAGTTTTTAACACCAATCTGTCCTCACAAAAATAATCAGGAGTTATCATTCAATCATAATTATTTGATATTAGTTATTTGTAAAATGAGATTTAAGAAGCAGAATGTCAAATAACTATCAAACTAAGTACTTACGTAAGTGTTTCCTTCTGTTCTAAAGAATATGATACATTTACAGTCTCCTTATTTCTCTGAAGGAGCGTCTAAGGACAGACGAGGCCTAATCTGACCCCTGTTGTGATTTTGGGATGTACAACAGCAAATGTATTTGATGCTTCTGAGTTATTATCTCAGTGGAAAGTATCAGGGAATCGATGTAAGAAAAATCCAATCAGAAACTAAACAATTCTAAAAACCATATTGTCATTTATTTGTGAAAATATAAGAACAACTCAAACCTGCCAATGTTCCCAACAGTTGTAGAATGACTTTGATCGATATGAAAAGTTACAAACTACAGCTGATTGTGCTGTTTTGCAAAGTGCTTGTTCTGCAATATTGTCCTCAAGCAATATCAAACTTTCTACTGAAGATTGTTGAAAACGGAGCAGAGGAGTGCGTTTCGTGTTCACGTCTCCTCAGTCACACGTGTCATGAATGTTGTGAACGCGACGTCAATCACAACGGGCAAAATTAACTGGTTTATCATCTGTGCAGCCTTCTAAATAAAGCAATGTTACAGATGCACAAACCAAGACAGACTTCTGACCTGCCTATAAGAATACTATGGGTGATTTGTACAATATATGGTCTAAAACAGTCTTTTATGCTTTGAGTCCTTCAAGTCCTTTTGAGGTTGATACATGTGATGTAGAAGTAATATAATAACGGTGAAAAGATGCTGTACTTTGATTTTATAGTTCATATGGATAGCCATGTTTATTGGAAGAAATGTCCCACTTTCATAAACCCACGGATATTGAATGAATCATATCATTTTATTTTGGGACCTAGCTCCGCAAAGCTACAGTTCGCTTCAATCTGTTCACTAAATATCTTTTGAAATGACATTTAGGTCAACCACATATCAAGGGTTGAACATGTGTCACACTGGTTTAATGCTATATTGTTTAACTTGGGACACTTGGACATCACCGCCGCATTATGCTTGGCTCTAGCACCCAGTGTCTAAATATAGGATTAAATTGGCTTTATTTTCACACCCAAACTATCTTCTCTTACATAATTAAACAAAGGGAATGATGTGACGCGAGATAAAAGCGCAGTCTACAGCGTCAGAACAAAGAAGGCGCAGTCTTCAGAGTGACTGAGCAACTTTCTCGTCTCTCGGAGCTGCTCCCGGATCACCTGCCAGTCTACACACTTCAAACGCTTTAATCAGGAGCCAAATGGAGCTAGACAGAGACGCTTCAAGGGCCCTGCGTTCTCAGTTTGGAAATAATCTCTGAGAATAAAGTTGGGACATTAATCAAAGCTGTGTTCTCCTGGTTTATAAAAGGTATGTCTGGGGCGAACAGTGGCCTCTCTGTGCTCTCACCGACGCAGTTGTCACAGATGCTGCAGTGCGAGGCCCGCGGGGGTCTGAAGATCTTGCAGGTGTAGCAGTACTTCAGTTTGACGATCTGGTTGTTGATTTGGACGTTGCGGATTCGAGGGGGGGCGCGCTGACCCGCTGGCACGTTTCCATTGGCTGCCTCTGCAAGGACAAAAAGTATGATTGTAGTTCAAATGTGGAATGAAATATGTATATACACAACTTTTACAGAGGTTGTGGCTTCTTATTTACTCCCTTCATGCATGTTTGAACTGTCCTGATTGTAAGACGTTGTTCAAATCGATTTCTTCGTAACAGCTACACACTTTATTTTTTTCATAACATGTAAAACAGAATAACACACATTCACACAAACATGTTTTGAAAAGGGAGGAAGAAAAAGCTCATGAACGTCTAAACTCATCCAACACGGACACAATGGCAATAGAAGAAGAGGGCTGGATCCAAGAGTTGTAAATAATACAAAACCACAGCGGAAAAGTCACACAAGACAAACTCATTATTCGTAGGACAGTTGTATTCTGGTAATAAAAGCAGTGTCAATATTTTGTTATTATTCAAAGTCACGGGTTATTTCTTAGGTTTCCAACACAGATATGAAGGATATCCATGTATCAAATCCAGGTTGGTGAATTAGATCCAGTATGTAATGCATCACGGTGCCAATATCAGTGATATATCTTGATTACTATTAACCCCTTTGGACTACTGCTTTTTGAATGCATTTTTATTTTCTCAATAAACCATAACATTATTGCACAAACATTGTAAATATAATTCAGCAGTGCAAGTTCTGTGCAAGTGCCTTTATTCAGTCCAGTTGTTTGTGGACCATAAGTGGTTTATGCTAACGTTGCACGACCAAATTATGGAGGTGGGACCAGAGAAGAAGAAGAGGTAGGACCAGAGAAGAAGAAGAGAAGAAGAAGAGGTGGGACCAGAGAAGAAGAAGAGGTAGGACCAGAGAAGAAGAAGAGGTAGGACCAGAGAAGAAGAAGAGGTGGGACCAAAGAAGAAGAGAAGAAGAAGAGGTGGGACCAGAGAAGAAGAAGAGGTAGGACCAGAGAAGAAGAAAAGGTGGGACCAGAGAAGAAGAAAAGGTGGTACATGTACAACAGTAGCTCAGTCAGCAGAGCGTGTGTCTCTGAGCTGAAGGTTGGCGGTTTGAATCCTGCTTCTGAATAAACATCATTGGTCGAGTGGTCATATGGACTGACCCGCAGCTGCTCTTGTGCGTGTCCTTGGGCAAGACACCCAACCCTCCAGAGTCGTACCCTGATGTGAGTTAGTGATTGGTTCCTTCACAGCAAAACGTGATGAAAAATCAGTTCAAAAATGCCTCAAATTTGGAAACGCACATTTAAGCACATTTTGACTGCCAATGGGAAAAGCAAAATCATACATGAAAAGATACAAGAAATGTCTCCCTTGGAATGAGAAAATAGAGTAAAAATTCTTGAAATTAGACCAAATGACCTTGTCCCAATGGCAAATCTTGTCAGAATGTACTCAAATCAGGATTAAAACCACTTTATGACCTGATATTTCATCACTTTTTACAGTGTGGATGTAAGGTGTAAAGGTAGATAAGCGCTTTATCACTGTACATTGTTCTGGCCTTGATTTTACAATTAAGACATTTTCCATATATTAAAAGACATGGAATTAAACTGTCTTTGCATCCTCTAAGACTAAACCTACAGATCCGAGTTCAACACATTCAGTCCATTGTCTGTGTGACGGAGCTGCTGTTACTGGCATCTCGCTTCTGCATATTTGTGAAGAATGACTAAGTGTTGACAAGGGAGAAGAAAATGAGGTTTATTTCTCCGCACAGGTGGCCTTGAAGTCTACGATTGAAAAGAGTTTGTAAGCGGCTCTTAATGTTATTCACAGTGATGTAAACAGACACATTAAACTCTGTTCCATAGTGTTGCTCAGCAGGAGTTTGAAGCACTCTGAGCCAATGTACAGTATTACCACACAGAGAGAGCAGTTAATGGAGAAGAACAAATGTCTTTTTTTAATAACTGCTCACGATACAACTCGGGAAAACAAGCACATTATGGCTTGTACACACGAGATAAGAAAGGCTGCACTGTAAAGCACTAAAAGGCAATGGAAAAATAAATGTTCTACTTATGTTGATTTCTTTGGCTCTTTAAAATAAATCATTGTGAAATATAGCTCTCAAAACCATTTGCAACCAGTTTTCAAATGTATGTATTCCTGGCCTCTGATTGTATCTTTAGATCAGCTTTTCAGTGAAAACCAGAGAGCCAGCCCTCCCTCAGCCAATCGGCTCCCAGTATGGACTTAGACTGAGGACTTCTGTGGACATTGTGTATTTGGAAGTGAGTGCACAGTTCAAGCAACATAAAGATACAATTTCTGTGATTCTTTGTTTGAATAGATTTCCATATTTCTAGACCTGTATGAGACTTCTTTACTTATTAGGCTATAGATAGAATTTGTTATTTCCCCACTGAAAGATCAAGGCTATGCTCACACTCAGAGAGCAGCCGTCCTCCTGTGGACTCACCACCTGCAGAGGGTCAGTGAGGGGCTGGTGCTATGAGACTTGGGTGGCATCTCTGACTGCCACCCCCCTGACCCAGAAATGGATTAAAGGGTAGAAAATGGATGGATGGATAGAATTTGTATGTTATTTTAGTATAGAGTTATTATTCATGCATCTTGTGCTGTGTGCTTCTCATTCCTACTGTTCTGTAACTTGTGATGAAACACTGACATTTCCCCACTCTGGGAAGAATGAAGGATCAGGGAAAAAAACTAAATGTTGGGACAAACAAGCAATACTTCAGTTAATTGAAAAATGAATTGACAAACAAGTGAAATAAAAAAAAAAGAGGTACTTTATCTTTGAATGGTTACAGAACATGTTTCTTTAGCAGTCGTCTCTAATGGGCTTAGTGCGGCTCTAGAATGATGCTGTATCTCATGTCAGAAAGAGCAGCTGGAGTTGTGTCTGGAGGATTGGACGGTGAAGATTGAATGAGTCATCTTGGGGGAATAATGTCTCTGCTGTGGCATCGCTCCAGGAGGACGGCAGAGCTCACATTAACAGTCCCTCCAGAGACCACAGTCTACAGCATCTGCATCAGGCTTTCACACACACACACACACACAAACACACACTGCCTACGCTCACGTCTGGAGCATTAAAGGTGACATTACCATTACAAATGCTGTGATGCCGTTTCAAGGTCAAATCAGTGTCCTTCAGAGCGCTTATTTTTATCATTTGGTTTATTTGAGAAGGGACTCATACAGAAAACATTATGATTATCTATAGTGTTAATATATTGCTTCTTATTATGCTGAAGTCAGGCGGTTTTGGACTTAAAGGAGCAGTATGTAAAAATCTGGCCATAAGTGGTATTGCAACCTCTCCCACTCTCCCCGATTCAGGTTGCCAGATATTCAGACATATCCAGCTGGGACCAGAATATCTGAATAGACAAGAGTTTTGTCAACAACAAATCTATAACCAACACCTTTTTCACAAAGCCCCCATAGAAATCCTCGTTTTATTCCTTTTTTTGTCATTAACAATTTTAGAAATATTAGTATTAGATAGCAATATGGCCTACGTGCAGGACTGTACAAGGACTCTACAAGGACTCCATGTTATGACTATGATGTGACTGTCTCTTTGTGACACGTATGTCTTTCGATGTGTGACGTGACAATGACTATATAAACTGTGTACTGCCTTTATTCTGTCTGAGGGAAAGAAACAGAGTAAACCAGTGGAACTTGAGAGAAACTTAAATAAACTTCCAGAGTTTGGCACACCACGATCCGTCTCTGTCTGCTTAAATCCTAACAGATTTGGTGGAGAATGCGCGGCTCGGTTTGTGCCATTCTCTGGATTGTTTTGAGGGAATTTTCTCTGTTTCTTTTTTTCGGCGTGTGGGAGCAACAGCACGTTATCTGGAAGGGGAGAAATCCCAGTGGACGCTGAAAGGGCTCGCTTTTGGATGGGCTTGCTCTTGCTCCCTCACTTTCTCTGTTTTGTGTTTAAATTGAATTTTTCGACGCGGAAAAGATGTTGGTCGACCTCTCGAACAGTCCGGACAAAGAATTAAGGTAAGCAGACACCTTTTTTAATATGTAAAGTCTGCATAATTGGATACTAGCTAAATTTTGAGCTGTCCCGGAGGTCTGTCCAAATCTCTCTAAATCAAAATTTCTTTGTTTTGTCTTTGTCACGTCTTTGTCATGTCTTATGTTGTAGAAAACAGGTTAGCTGTGTGGGTAACCAGTCCCTATAGGAAAAAAGAACCCCTTGACGTATCGGGGTCCCTGTCCTTTGAAGTAGTCAGGGCAGAGAAAGAGTAATTACAGGGTAGAGGCCCTTTTTAGAGTAATTACCGGGGTAGAGGCCCCTTGAGAAAAAGAGTAATTACAGGGTAGAGGCCCCTTGCTAGCCAAAGAAAAGTGTTGGATCCAAAAGTGTAAAATTAAAAGCAATAAAAAAGGGAAACGTGTTAAGGAGGCCTTTGTTACAAAAGCTTTGAAATTGACGAATTTCAGGCTGATAAATGACAAAAGTAAAGAAGCAACAATATTTCAGTGATCACGGTTTAAATTACATACAGAAAAAGGGAGTTTTTGTTTTTGGCGTGAACAGAGTTCACCGGAGAATGCAGAGTTTTATCTAAAGTTGAGCTATGAGAGCTTTCGTGAGTTATTTACATTTTTTGCCGAGTTTTATCTACAGTTGAGCTATGAGAGGGTTGTATCCAACAGTTGTTTTTGTTTTTTAGAAAGAGATTTTAAGTTTAAATTATTTTGCTACCTCGATAAAATAGAAGCGTAAACGTTAAAGACAAGAGTGCCTTTTGTTACTAGTGTGGAAAGTGATCACTTCTAGATTTGGATGACAAAAGTATAAAGAACAACATCAGTTATATTCGCTTAAAGTAATCTTGAAAGTTATTCTTCTGTATCTTTCTGCCTGTGTGTGCACATCTCTATCTGCTGCCGTTGTCAGGGAAACGGCCCCCACCTTCGCTGCTCTGGCTCTGAATCAGAGCTACTGCTTTAGGATTTTTGGCTTTTCATAGTTTTTATTCCGTTAAATTTGCGAAATTTGCCATTGAACATTGTGTTAT